TCTGCACTGGCTGCCAACTTCTTACTGGGCCCAGTTCAAAGTGGTATATAAAACTCTTAATGACTTAATGACCAGTTTACTTGTTGGGTCACCTGACCTCAACCACTTCGATCTGCAGAACTGGTGCTGTCACAGATTCCAAATAACACTTATATTGCACTTGTAAGAAATCAATATTTTAGCACAGCGCCTAAACTTTGGAACTCCCTGCCGATTGACACCAGACAGGCACATTCACTGTGCTCTTTTCAGTGGCTGATTAATTTTTGTTGTTGTTGTTTAGGTAAGCCCATCTAGACTCATAGATATTGATGTGTCTTTTTTTTACTGTTAATGTTAATTAACTTTAAATGTTTTTAGTTGCTTTTACATGTTTTAATTGATAATTTCAAATATTTCGTGTGATACAGCTTAGAGGTTATAATATACATGTGTGATATATACATTTTGTTAAATCAATGAATGTTAAAAATAACAGTTAATTAAAAGAAATAGGCATCGAGTTTTCTGCTGGAAATTCTGGACAAATTTCTAGGTGTACATTTGCGGGGGGAAACATTAGATGTACACCTAAAATGTAATGTATGCAGGGACCCCAATTAGGGATTAGCTCAGATATGTCATGTTTAAGCAATGCCTACATTGCTGGGATCTCCCAGTATGGTTTAGCATATGTCTGCTCCTTATTTTTATGTGTCAATTCAAAATGTATTCACAACATTTTGGGATGGGGAGGGGAAGGCAGTTTTGCTTTCCTACAATGCCAAGTTTTGAGAGTTTTGACAATTTCCCATGTTTGCCAAAGACAGGGCTGGGGTGGAGGACAGGACACGTTCCCTTGGGTCGGGGGTGTTGGTTCTGCGTAAAGAACAACCTCCCCTTTTTTTTGCTGGGAGGAAATGCCATTAGCATGCCATATCAAACCATGGAGGCTGACTCACCACCTTAAAATCGGATTTGGAAGGCCCTGGCTCCCCCCCCCCCCACGTGTGAAAGCCCTTGCACAGACTCATGTGCTCAAATCTCAAGCCGAGACAGCAAAATGATCTGGAGCGTTGCCTTCAAGAATGTCTGCCAAGCAGGAAGGAGGGGAAATGAATGGATGGTCTGGTCCTCAGGCTGCTTTTGCACCTTCTAGCCGAAGAATTGAAGGCTGATCGCCGAAGAATGGATGCTTTTGAATTATGGTGCTGGAGGAGACTCTTGAGAGTCCCGTGGAGTGCAAGAAGATCAAACCTCTCCATTCCTAAGGAAATCAGCCCTGAGTGCTCACTGGAAGGACTGATCGTGAAGCTGAGGCTCCAAGACTTTGGCAACCTCATGAGAAGAGAAGACCCCCTGGAAAAGACCCTGATGTTGGGAAAGATGGAGGGCACAAGGAGAAGGGGATGACAGAGGACGAGATGGTTGGACAGTGTTCTCAAAGCTACCAGCATGAGTTTGACCAAACTGCGGGAGGCAGTGGAAGACAGGAGTGCCTGGCGTGCTCTGGTCCATGGGGTCACGAAGAGTCGGACACGACTAAACGACTAAACAACAACAACAAGCCCTTTGTCACTGATGAACCAGGATGTGGCATCTTCTCTGGTCTTTGGGGCTTTTACCCCAGCTATTTCCCCTCTCCTCTGGTCACACCACTCACTGACCACCCCTTTTCCACCCCAAGCATTCTTGCCTGAAGGGAATGAGCCCTTGAACTCTAGTAAGGAGCAGGGCTGGCCAACAACGCTTTGCCGCCTGGAATGAAGAACCATATAGGACCCTGCACCCCAACCCTTGTGCAAAAGCCAACCATGCTGGGAGTTGCATTCCAATTCAGCACTGGCAATGGGACAGCTCCTCCACGTCTGACTTCCTTCAGAGGCTCAGGGGAAGTCAAACAGCTCACACAGCTGTGTCCCCTTCCCTCAACAACTGCCACCCGAGGCAGGCACTTCCCTCAGCCTAATGGTAGGGCTGGCCCTGCTAAGAAGAGCCTGGCTGGATCAGGACAAAGGCCTCTCCAGCCCAGCTTAGTGCTTTCCATGGTGATGAACCAGGTATCTTTGGGAAGCCCAGAAGCACAAGACCACTCTCCCGTTCATGAAACCCAGCAACTGGCTTTTTGAGAGGCTGTCTGTCTCTGATCCTGGAGAAAATATAACAGGCTATGGGCAGGACCATTCACTGTCTGAGATCACATAGTGTCACTGTGTGACTGAGTGGAGAATACCAGTACAAAATAATCTGATCCAGTAGAAGGCAGGTCCTCATGGACCTCACTATCAAGGATCCCTTCTCTCACACAAGTACTCTGACTAGCTAGTGAGGTCCTCTTGGGAGGGCCTTCTCTGTGTTGGCACCCTGTCTCTAGAATTCTCTCCAGGAAGACCTGCCTTCTGCTGCTTGAAATGTCCCTGCAGCAAAGACCTTTTATTTGCCCAGGCCATCTAGGTGGTGCTTATTAAATGCTATTTTGTTATTGTTGTCTTGCTTTTATTGTCTCAGAAAGGGAGCCTGTGCTGGATCAGACCCAAGGTCCTGTTCTCACAGTGGCCAACCAGATGTTCCAATAGGAACCATGCAAGCGGGATAGAAGCACTACAGCACCTCTCCCCGTTTGTGATTGCCAGCGACTTGTATTCAGAAACTCTCTCAAATGCTGGAAAGAGTGCGCAGGGGTCCTGCTGGATCAGGCCAATGGCCCATCATAGCACAGCATCCCATTCCAGCGTTGGTCAATCAAATGCCCACTGGAAGCCAGCGAGTGGGAAACGAAGCCCCTGTCAATTGGTGGGGCTTTTTGCAGGTGTCTTCTGCAACATATAATTGACACAATAATAGTGCATTAGTGGCGGATTAGTACAGACAGCGACCGTTGTAGGCGCACCTGATATGTGCATGACCGTGCATTTGAGCATCACACTGAACGTGGAAGTGACCCGGAAATGTCACAAAAAAGTCACAGAAAGGGGCACAGAAAACTATGCAGGCTTTTTCAGCGGTGTTTCAAATATACTTGATTTCACTTAAAAGCATGGCACATTGGAACATAACCCCGATGTAAACTGGAAGTTGTCTGTATTGGAGTCCACACCTCACTCTGCGCCATGAATGATCATGCATTGTCTAGTGATAGCCTTGTACTCAATGAATTTAAGAACATAAGGAGAGACCTGCTAGATCAGCCTCCTCAGTTCTTTCTCTTGATAGCATAGATTCATTGACCCCAAAATTTATGTCCATCTCTTGATAGTTTTCAACTTCTTGGTGTAGGGCAGGAGGCTTGACAACCATATGTCAGGAGTGCTCTGATGGTGTTTCCTGCTTGGCAGGGGGTTGGACTCGATGGCCCTTGTGGTCTCTTCCAACTCTATGATTCTATGATTCTATGAATCTGTGGGCCATCTAGATGTTGTTGGATGGTGGTTGGCTAAGCTCCCCGGGGCAGATGGGATCTGGAGTCCAGCCCCATCTAGAGGGCTACAGGCTAATCATCCCTGGCCAAGGGTCCCAGTTCTCACTTTGGGGGCCATGTCCCAGGCTCAAATCCCAGATTAGTCCATATTTGAGGAAATGAAAATTAAATCATCTGTGGGAAGAGCTATGCTTGGGGTGGAAGAAGACACACATTGCCTCCAGACCACCTCCATAATTTCAGTGACAGGGCTTCAGATCTTGGAGAACCGGTACTAGCCAGTGGGTTGATTCAACACAAAGCACCTGTTGATGTTGATCGCAGAAGGGAGAGGGGGCCTTGAGAGAGTAATGCAGGTCTCTCCTCCTGCTCCCTCTTATTCCCCCTCCCAGGTTGACTTTGGGAACTTCTTTCTGTATATATGCATGTCTTCGCTTTTGAGAAGCTACTGGGAGGGGTATGTCTTGTGGGTGTCAAATGGCTTCTGAGCACACCCAAAATCAAGTTGGTGAAAAGACCTGATGCCCAAGAATGTGGTGCAGCCTCTAGAAGAGAGTTCCCCAGCTTGGGGGGAAATGCTGCTAGAGTCCCCTTGCACATCATGTCATCCAGAATGGGGGGGCGGCGGTTATGGCTGGCTTTGCTTCGGCTTCCAGGACCAGGGCCAGGAGTCACATATTTAAGAACATAACTATTCTTCACTTATTTATTCCCCTCCTGTCACCCTAAGGTCCCAGGGTGATGGCCCAATGGACCGTCCAATCCTGCATCCTCTTCTCACAGTGGCCAAACAGATGCTCATTGTGGGAAACACAGGAGCAGGACCTGAACACAAGAACTCTCCCCCCTCCTGTGGTCTCCAAAAATTGGCATTCAGAAGCATTATTGCCTCCAACAGTGGAGAAGAGCATAGCCATCATATCTAGTAACCCTCTCCTTCTTGATTTATGGTTTATATTAATGGGCCTAGAATCCTCGAATTGTAGAGTTGGAAGGGACCCCAAGGGTCATCTAGTCCAACCCGCTATAATGCAGAAATCTCAGCTAAAGTATCCAGGACAAATGGCCATCCAACCTCTGCTTCAAAATCTCCAAGGAAGGAGAGCCCACCTTCTCCCGAGGGAGAGCGTTCCGCTGTCTAACAGCTCTTAGTGTCAGAAAGTTCTTCCTGGTGTTTAGTTAGCCGTGTCCATTAAGAACATAAATGGAGCCTGCTGGATCAGGCCAGTGGCCCGTCTAGCCCAGCAATCCGGTTCTCACGATGGCCAACCAGATGATGCCCATAAGCAAGCCCTGCGCGCAAGAGCCTCTCTCTCTTCCTGCAGCCTCCAGCAACGGGCATTCAGAAGCATCGCTGCCTCCAACTGTGGAGAAACAGCAGAGCCATTCTGGCTGGTAGCCATCGAGGGCCGCCTCCTCCGCCAATTTCTGTTTGCCTCTTTTAAAGCCTCCAAGTCGGTGGCCGCCGCTGCCCGCCGGAGGAGGGGGGATTTCCACGCTTTAGCTGTGTGCTGCGTGAAGAAGAATCTCTTTCCATCCCTCTCGACTCTCCCCAGGAGACGGGTCGGCGCGCCCTAGCCAAAGATGTCCAAGCAGACGTGAGCTAGATCCCTGCACCCAACCGCTTGCCGACGAAGCGTGCGGTGCTGCCCGCAAGCCGGCGAGCTTCCCACAGGCCAGGAGGAGGGAAGGAAGGAGGAGGTGCGCGGAGGCTGGGCAAGCAGGAGGCAGGCAGGCGCGGCGCCTCCCATTCCGCGGCGCTCGCGAGGAGGAGAAGCGAGAGGCGGCGGCACGAGCGGTCCCAGCGGCTGTGGCGGCGGTAGCGGCGGCGGCGGCGCGCGGTTGACGCGGCCGGCTCGGGGCTGCCTTGTCGGCTGGCGCCTCGGAGCACGTAGCGCCCAACGTGACCGCGGCGCGCAAGCCCCGCAGCTGCTGCCAGGCGCGCATCCTGCCTTCCCAGCCCGGGCCCGCCGCTGCAGGAGGAGGAGGAGGAGGAGAGAGCCAGCCGCCCGCAGGCCCGGGAGTGCGCCGGGGGCGCTCCCGCCATGGCTGCGCCCTGTTCCGCCGCCGCCGAGCCGCTGCCGCCGGCCCCGCCGCAGCAGAGTGCGCCGCGCAAGGACGCCGCGATCTAGCCGGGGCTCGGAGCCTCCGCCGCCGCGCGTCGCCTCTTGCCCGGGGGGCGCCTCCTTTCCGCCTCCTCCTCCTGCCGCTGCCTCCCTCTCCATCCTCGTCCTCGCCCTCCTCCATCCTCGGGAGCCGCGAGCGGGCCGTGGCGGAGCGAGCGAGCGAGCGGGGCGCGCCTCCTCCTGCTCCCGGTCCCCTCCGCCCGGATATGTGGCTGCCGCTGCTCCCGCCGCCGCCAAGATGGATTTAGCCTACGGGGCCGTGTGGCTGCTCGCCGTGCTGCTGGAGGGCATCTCCGGGCAAGGCGTCTACGGTGAGTGCCGGCCACCGGCTCGCTACTGCTCTCTCTTTCTCTCTCTCTCCCCACCGGAGGGGAAAAAACAGCCCACCTCCCGCGTCGTGGTGACCTTGCAAGCATGGAGAGCCTTTTCTTCGCACCCCCGACCTTCCGGGGCTCAAAAAGCAGCTCTTTCGCGCTCCCCCACCCCCAAATCTCAACCGAACGAGGCTCGAACTCGGGTCTTGGCTCAGGCGACCGGATTGCTGCCCCCACCTCCCCGCCGGTCCGGGAAGCGAGGGAGAGGGGAGGGGGACCTGCTCTGCGCCACTGAGGAACGGTGGAAGGGGGTGGCATCCCATAGAGAGGGACCGTTTGGAGGGAGCTGACTTTGGGGTGGGGAGCGAGGAACGAGAGATTTGGCGGTGGGCAAAGGAAGGAAGGAGAGGAGAGGAAGCCCCTGGCTCCCTCCTCTTCTTCCTCCAGCTGCAAATGCAGCCGGTGGCACATCTGGGCACCGGGCAATGCCCGGGAGGACTCGGTCCGTCTCTGACTCGCTCCGTCCACCGCTCCATCCTCCCAGCGCCGGGCTTTCTGGAGCTCCGTGTTGCCTAGGTTGGCCGGGCTCTCCTGGGCGCGTAAATGGCCCCCTCTGTTCTCTTGCTGGCCCCCGCTCCCCTTCTCCACGCAGCTGTCTAAATACCAGCTGCAAAGACCTCGGGGAAGAGAAGGAGGCTCGTTTGCCTCATCCCTCGCCACCTCCCCCCGAAAGATGCGATGCCAGCCACGGTCTGCTTGCACATGGGAGGGGGGAATCTTTCCACCTCTGGGCTCGGTTTTGGAGCCTCCAGGGGGTCTTGCATTGGTGGGCAGGAGGCCCTGGTGATGGGCGCCCGGAGAAGCTGGTGGGTGCAATCCGAGGCTGCAGAGACAGGCAGGCGTGTGCGGAGATGTCAGCAGAGCCCAGAGAGAGTCTTGGAGGCTGAAAAAGACTTCTCTCTCTCTCTCTCTCTCTCTCTCTCCGCCCCCCCCCCCCCCGTTTCCTGAACTCCTCTCAGCCCTGCTTCCCGGTGAGCGGAGGTTAGGAGAGGTTTGACAGGCTGCAAACTTTCCAGCATCTATTTCTGGGGTGGCCTTTCAGATCTCTTTTTTTTGCGGGGGGAGAAAGCTTCCCTGTAGAAGGTTTTTGGTGTGTGTGTGTGCGCCCGCGTGTGCGCGCGTGTTGGAAGGATGCTAAAAATAACCCTCTATTAAATCTCCCCAACCCCCGGTGTTGTGGAGGTGGAAATTAACTCGGGTTGGCAGCCAGGGGGAGATGGAGTTTAACCCTCTGGAAGCAGCCGAGAGCGGGCGGCATCTTCAGCGTGGCACATTTACGCACACACAGCGCTGGCCGGCTCCAATGGCCGCGGTGCCCGGTTTGGAGGAGGAGGAGGAGGAGGAGGAGACGGCGGTGGGCGCCGCTTGTGCCATGCAAATCTCCGGCTGACGTTGGCAGAGCGAGGGGGCGGCGGGGGAGGGAAGATTCATTCACTCCCCAGGCAGGCAGGCAGGCAGGCAGCTTGCTTCTCCTTCTCTGCGGCAATTGTGTGTGTATGTGTGTGTACAAAAAACCCCTGCTCCTCCCTAGAATAAGCCTCCTCCTGCTGCACAGAAAAGAGACAAGGCTCGGTGTCTCTGTATCGAACCCCTTTCTCCCCCTGGAAGTAACTGCTCCCCCCCTTTTTCTTAGCTTTGGTAGGGGTGGGGGTAGTTTTGCATTTTCCTTCTGAATTTCTCTCATTCATTCCATTTCCCTGGCAACAGCCTTCTGATGTGGGGAATGCCGAACCCAGAAAGAGGCCAAACCTTCCCCGCGTCTCTTCTCTCCAGCTAGTGATGACACACACACACACACACAGAGGGAAGAGATGGATTTCATGCCTCTTTGAAGAGCATCCTCTCTGGAAAGGGGGCTAGGCTGGGCAGGGCTGGCTCTGGGCCAGAGAGGCAGGCCCCTTGGCTTCCCCTGGTGCCCCCTGGTGCCTGGGTGGCCATTTGGTAAGGATGAGTGGTCTCTTGGGCCCTGGGAATTTTGCCTCTTGTGTGGCTTTCCCCCGATCAAACCAGGTTCTTGCTGTTTGAGGTGGCCTGTTCCTGGGGAAGAAAAAAACCCCAAACGAATTCCTCTCCTCTCGTGTGCTTGATAGTATCCCCCATACACTTCCACCAATTTCCTTCCTAGCCGAACACCCCAAAAAATATTGCATGCAGAGAATGTGTGTTGCTGAAGTTCTGTGCTAGTTTCATAATATTTTGGGGGCAAATGCATGAGATTTTCACCCCTGAACAGAGCACTCTAATGGCACTTGGACTTGTGTTTGGTTATATTCAATTTATAATGATCCCCCAACCATCTGTTGATGTCCCTGCCCGATTTTGTGACTCCTGCAGATCTGAGTTTTGATGGCAGGTGGTGTTATTTGGCACCATGGTTGCATATATATATATATGGGGGAAAAAACCTTCTTTGTGTGAGTGTGCATTACAAAAGGTTCTCCTCGGAGGACAGGATGTTCATTCAATCTAGTGTGTGTGTGTGTTTCTTTTCTCACAAAGACAGCATGTTATATGTGGGCAGGAAGAAACAGGCCGCCGTCAGTCTTGGTGGCTCTGAGGTGTGGGATTCCTGGAGTCGGGCACAGAGCGATGAGCGTGATTGGCATAACCCTTCCCCGCTGCCGTTTTGCTCAACGCCGGGTGAGCTGTGCTGGTGATGAGAGCGCATGGATGTGGCAGCTGACACACAGCTCTCCCCTGGCAAATGGTGTGTGATTCTGCTCACACTCCCCATGCAAAACATGGTGGTTGGTTGAGGAATTTCATCTGCAGGTTTTGGGTGCGAGTCTGCATCTAGAGACGGTTGGTAGGACTTAGTCGGCAATACCCCAACCCTTCCGTCAATTCCTGTTGAAAAGGATTCTTTTATATAAAAAATGCAGATAAAAAATTGTCTTGCCCTCCATGCTTTTGAGGTTCCTTTATCTCCTTTTTTTGGCTATTGCACACAGGTGGAATCTGGTTTTTTTGAGTGTGGTGTGTGCAGACTGCCGTAAGGATTCTTTCTTGTGGGTTTACCTTTGCTTTGGCATTTGTGATGGTCCTGCATCAACCGGTTGGATTTTTGAACATCCTTTGTTGGCCACCTGGAATCACCTGCCCCAGTGGGGGCTGGGAAATGGAGCCTTTGCGAACCCCGCAGTGCTGTGGATACCCAGGTAGGCTGTTGGGTGGCTTAGCAGGGTGCTCAGATCCAGATCATTTCTGATTTTAAGACGCCCCTTCTGTGGAAGATGGGGCCGTCCATGTAGTATTGTCCAAAATGCCTAGTTCAGCAAAAGCAAGCCTAGTTGAATTATTTCAATGTTTTGTGCTCACCACCTTCTCCTTGAGCAGCAGGGGCCTCTAGGGGGCAGTCTTTCACAGGGTCAGTTTCCTATTGATGACACTGTCCTGGAGAGAGAACAGTTTCTTTCGCTGTACCTGTTTGCTTCAGGAAAAATGCGTGCCAAGCTGGAGAGGGAAGGCAAGAATGTCGGCAGAGCTGGCTTTTTAAGGAGTGACAGTTGTTCCCCCAAACCTTGGAGTTTCCACAGTCAAAGCTCCTTCTTGAATTGTGTGGGGTGGGGACGACAACACTCCCAGGCATCTCCTGTTTGGTATCTCTGGATTCCTAACCTGTAAACAGCTTCCTATTAAACCTCACCAAAATAGGCATAACTTGTTTTACAGCTAGTAGCCACCAGAAATCAAGGGCCAGCAACGCTCATCTAAGCAAGCATCTTCTAGCCATTGGCAGCGGTTCTCAAACTACTTTCTCTGGGCTCACACTGATTTTTTTAATTGATATTGGTATGAATATTGATACTTTTATTGATATTGATTGATATTGATTATTGAGTGTACTTCTTATACATTGGAGAACCAAAAGGAACAACTCCCTAGCAGGGCTTGATTTACAGCACAGAACACAGCTATTTTATAATATGATCATGGGACATCCCTGGAAAGTATAAAATAATGCAGCTACATAAGAACAGGAATCATTCCCAAAATATAACTATAAATGAGCCTCTTGCGTATGGGCCTCAATGAGAGGGGTGAGCTTGCACAATCACTTGATGCTCTTGCATCTTCTGCATACCCCCAGAAAAAAAGCACCGAAGATATCTATCTCTGTTCTGCAAAAAACTAAAACAAAACTATACAATACTATACTACACTGAAAGGGTTAGATGCTTCTTTGATTGCCCTTGAATCTTCCTGCCACACTTGCCTTCCTCGCCTGCCACACACCCCTCAAGAACCACTGCTTTAAAGTGTCCCTTTTAGCTATTGGCTAAGGCTGAGCAAACACCTTGGGGAAAGGCCATCTCCTTACTCGGGAATTGTAATGTATGTATATTTATTTACAGTGTCAAAAGCACATGTGTGAACTAGCTGACACACAAAAAATCTCAGGTATACACCCTGTACGCATTGGGGATTGCAGAGTTTCTGCTGTGGTGTTATTCTGAGAGCTCAGTAAGGCAGCAAGATTTGCTTTTGGGTGTTTTATCTTTTAAATCAGAACCAGTGAAGGCGGTGAAGGTCCTGTGTGAGTGCCT